TGAGGAGAAACCATGTCCAAACCATAGCAGAGAGCAATAGATGCCTTAACTGCAGTTAAGTTTATGAGGTAATTATTCTGTACATTTAAAAAAATTATGATCGGGGATTGAATTTAGGGTCTCAAGCCTGCTAGGCAAGCGCTCACCACTTGATTCATTCCACCAGTCCCAGACTGGTCGTGAACTTGCAACCCTCCTGCCTCCACTTCTCGAGTAAGGGTTACTTTTCTTTAATGATACGAATATGGATTATTGTCAGATTTCATCTTGCTGAAGAGGCAAGAGGCAAAGTGTGAAACATCAGTGGGATTTTCTGCGAGAGTGACAGATGGAGCACAGATAGAGGTGCAGTCCAAACAAGCTAGGGCTGGCAGAATGGCTTATGTGATAGAGTGCCTGCCTAGCAAGCATGAGGTCCTGAGTTCAAGTCCCAGTACCTCCCCCTCCACCCCCTAAATAAAGCGGAAGCACCATAAACATTTCCAAAGCAAAACTCTGAAGGCAACCTGAATTCTGGTTCAATACGAATTGATACAGTAATGTTTCTTTTTCCTTTTTTTTGAGTAAGAAAATGCTGATATCTGAGCTCTGCGCTTTTTGAATTTAGTATCTGAAAGCAAGGCTTGACATTAAAAGCTTCATTATGCCTGGTAAGAAAATGTCAGCAAACACTAAAACTGCATTAGAAGTTCCTGGCTTTTCCAAAGAACTCAACTCAGCAAAATCTATTCCCTGGACCATTTTAGCAAGCTCATATAACTAGGTTATTTTAGCCAGGCAGCAACTCCTTTGCGGTAGCTGGTGTCTATAAAGTAGGTGTGCTAGAGTTTAAGAAGAGTGAGGGCAGACCAGCTAGTCTCATGTAACGCTGCAGGCTCCCTGGAATTCAATTTCAATTACTGGGAAATGTCACGTCCTTAAAGATTTCAAAATGTCACATGGGTTCTTGCTCATTTACTTACAGACACAATCATATGCGTTAATAAGCAAAGGCTTTTTCTTTTCCTCTGATTTTACCAACCTCTGGAACCATTAATTCAAAATTATTCTGGAAACACAAAAAAGAAAAAAAATTTATTACTGGACAGTTGTAGAGTTCACTCCCAAAGGCGTAGGCCTGGGTCTCCCCCATTTTAATTTCTATCACCATATCAAACAAAACATAAAATATACATCGATCAGGATGTTTTCAGCCACAAAAAAGTTAAAAGCCCTACGAATTACTTAAATAGCAACAGAATTCATTTTGTCATCAGGCTCACGGATTGGTTAGCTCAGAGTTCAGCGATGTCAGCAGGATGCAGGTAGCTCCTATCCTGCTGCTTTGACTCCTGTTACATCTCTTCAGCTCACTCCTCTTAGTCTCTCAGGATTTCAAACAGCCATGGTTCCAGACACCACAATATGCAATCAAAGACATCGAGCAGCAGATAAGGAACCGGTTCCTCTTACAAGTTTCTCTCTGGGTCTCTCCATCTCCCTTTCTCTGCATCTCCATCTCTCCCTCTCTGTCTTTCTCTCTCTTTGTGTTTATGTGATCGATGGTAAATAGGATTATATTTAGAAAAGTATGAAATATATTTCAACAGGGAATGAATGCCCTCTTTTTTTTTTTTTCCCAAATCCAGGGCCTCATGCATGCTAGGCAAACACTTAACTGAGCTACAATCCCTGCTCCAGAATGTCTCCGTGTAAAGGTAAGAAAAACACTTTTTCCAGCAATACCACAGGCCTCTTTCTGCATTTTATTGACTAAACTACCTCACATACCCTTACTGGAGCCAATCATTAACAAGGAGATTGGACCACACTGTTTACCTTAGGGCAGGGTTTCTCAATCTTGGCATTATGGACATTTTTGCGTGGGATAATTCTTTGTTGTAAGGAGACCATGCATGGTAGGATAATGAGCAGCATCCCTGCTCATTCCCTTCCAGATGACAACAGTGCTTCGCCTGAAGTAGCGGCAACTGAAAAACTCTCTAGACATTGCCGAATATTCCTTGGGAGGCAAAATCAATCAACTCATTGAAAACCGATGACTTAGGGCCACCAATGGTTCTGGGCCCACCTCCCCTGAAGCCCAGAGAGGGTAGCTAAGATGAACATTTTAAAAAAGATAAAAAGGGGAAATTGCTGATAGGCATCTAGTAGGCAGTGACATCCCCTTCCATTTTCTTTCTCGCTACTTTTCAACAGACGAGGAACTTATTAAAAATATGAAAAATGTAAGAATGAGTTACCTGCCAGGTAACCCAATGGATGCTAGTCCCTGTTTATATGCCAAGAGGCTAATATAAATATGCTTGTCATAAGTTGGTGATTTAGAAAATTTAAGCAAGGGTAATTTGTGCTGAAGCCTCCCCAAGTCATGACTAGCTGGTCAGCTGGTTTCTGTAGGGTTCAGATGTTCCTACTTTGGGTCAAGGTTTTTGGGTTTGTTTTTTTTTGGCGGAACTGGGGTTGAATTTAGGGTCTCATGCATACTAGGCAGGTGCTTCCCCGACTTTTTCGTGATTTTTTTTTCCAGAGATCAGGTCTTATGAATTGTTTGCTGGGGCTGGCTTTGTACTGAGATCCTCCTGATCTCTGCCTCCTGAGTAGCTGGGATTACAGGTGTGAGCCACCAGCAACTGGCTTAAATGTCTTTATTCAGGTCTTCATTCTAATGCACAAGGCTTTCTAGTCTTCTTTATTAGTCATCCACTGGGGATTAACATTGTGTCCTGGATTAAATCTTTGAATGAGAAAAAGAATGAATATTTTCATTAATTCGACATATGTATTGTCTATTACGTGCCAGGCATGGGTTCCATGAAGGAAAACATGACTGAAATACCAGCTTGGATAATCAGGGAAGGCTCTATGAGAGGGAACATTTTAGCTGAGATGGGGAAAATGGAGGGAGGGAGAGAGAGGAATATCTGATTATGATGAGCCACAGGAAGGAGTTCCAATTGTAAGAGGAGGTTGAAGTATCAAAGAGCTTAGGGACAATGGTGGTGGTGATGATGATGTGTGTGTGTGAGATGCTTTCTTCTTGATTGGTGTATTTTGTCCTTGGAATAAAGCCGCCTTTAACGCCTTCTCTACTATAATAATCAGTGGGATATGCAAATCTACATTCTCCCTTTCTGAATTTTTCCTTCTGGTTCTTAAGGCAGTGTTGCTATTTTGGTTTTTGTTTCCTAGGCATATGTCTCAGGGCTCTTGGCCCCTTAAGAAGCCCAAGCCCTGGCTTTAGAGTGTATTTTCACATGATTGGCTCCAGGCTCAAGATCTATGGCCTTATCTGGGTCATCTCTTTTGGTCTTACTTCACTGGCTGTGGAAGGAACATCTGGAGAAACTCTCACAAGGAAGACTTCTGGAGCAAGATCTTCACCTTTCCCTATCTCCT